AAGTGACTTTTGAGTGCGTAAAAGTAATTTTTAAGCACTAGTGCCTAAAAGTGTCATTCATTATTCAGAAATAAAAAACACACTAAACACAGATTTGAATTTTGTTTTGTATTTATTATGAATATTAAAAATGTAATTATTGAATTGAACGTTTGGGTTACTCAAAACAGAACTTTGTGTTGTTACCTACTTTCCAGGATTTTAATTATTGATGTCGAATCTTGAAAGAAAAAATCGCTTGAAAAGTGTCAGGTGTCAAGCAAAAGCAGGTAACAAAGATTTTGGGCGTAATCGACTTATGCCCGATTGCACCATCTTCTTAACTGAGGCTTAACGATAACTATCCCTTTGACAGTTTTGCATGGGAAAATGTCACTTTAAGGAATAGTTATCTCTAAGCCTCTGTTAAGAGAGACGGTGCAATCGGGCATTATTCACATGAAATAAAATTGTGTTTTTTTATTATAAAATGCCAGTAGAAAAAATCTTGTATACAATACGTTACGAAACGATGTCTTATAGGCACTCTACGTGTTGTCCAACTCGGCTACGCCTCGTTGGACAATTTTCACGTCGCGTGCCTAAAAGACACTCATTTCGTAACTTGTTGTATAAATAGCTATTAGACAACGGAACTGAATTTAAAAATACAGTGGTCACAGAACTATTACAACTTCATAAAATAAAAATTCATTTTTGCTCGCCCGAGCACCCCCAGTCTAACGGAGTTATCGAGAGGATACACTCCACTTTATCCGAACACGTAAGAATTCTAAATAATCGTGGCTTCCTGAAGACACCTATCAGCCAAAAAATGAAATATGCAATCCTAGCATATAATCACACCATCCATTCGGTGACTAAATTCAAGCCAATAGATGTTATTTCAGGACACATTAGCCCAAACGATCCATTTGACCTAAAATTAGACCAACTTTTATTGACAGATTATGTCACAGAACATAAAAATAAGTCTAAACTCTTATATTCAACCATCAATGAAAAACTTATAAATCAGAAAGAAAAAAATCATAGGAAAGATTAATGAAACTTCCGATAAACCAACATTATTCCACCCAGAACAAAAAATATACATTAAAAAGCATACACGTCAAAAACTAGCCGATAAGTTTACACCTCAGACACAAGTGGAAACCGTTGACCCAGTACGTTAAAACAATTGCAACGACCTCCCACGGAAAAGTACACATGGGTAACATTAAACGTCCCTTGAGAAATAAATATAGTTTTGACACCTAGTTTTAAGAATAAAATATTATATTACAATTACTCTAATTAACTATTTTAAATGCATTTTATATCATACGCTTGCTTATTAGCTTTATAACAATAAATATTATATTTCAGTTTCTTTGCCTACGCGTTTGGGACTCAAGAACAAATAATCATCAGAAAACTGGATGACAATCCTGGCATAATTCCAGTCAAATTAGGGAACGCGAAAATCAAAGATTACACCTACACCCTGATACATTATTATGACTTGAACCCAATAATACGTGAAATAAATAAGCTTCACGTAAAATCTAATAATATTACAAACATTCTTAATGGACATCAAGACTATTCTGAAGACATTAGCAATTACATAAATTTGTTGAAAATAACACAGAATAGAATTGATACAAAAATATCAGAGATTATACCTCAGCCACAAAGAATTAAAAGAGGACTAATTAATGGCTTAGGATCAATATTCAAATCTGTAACTGGAAACCTAGACGCATCTGATGGAGAACGTTACGAGCATATCATTAGGGAATTACAAAACAATCAAAATAGTTTACGAGAAAGTGTTCTGAAAGAAAACTCGCTTTCTCTAACAGTAATCGAAAAATTTATCCAAACCATTAAACAAATAAATCACAACGAAAAACTTCTAGAATCAAAAATTAACCAAATTGCACACATGGTACAGAAGGCAGCATATAGAGAAAATTCCCTCTATATCAAAGACATAATAAATCAAATAGTCAATATCTATGAGATAATTGACTCTATTTTACAAGATATAGAAAATTCCTTAACTTTTTCAAAATTGAAAATTATGCATCCAAGCATAATAAAAACTGAAGACCTTTATCATGAATTAAATGCCCCTAGCGGTTACTTTGGAAAATACTTCACTTTTTGAAAAAATAATTGAATTGGAATCTTTTGTCATCAATAATAGAATAACATACTTAATACATATACCAATAATGTATTCGGAAATTTTTGATTACTTTCATTTATACTCGGTTCCAGTACTTTCTCAGAGTCAGTTTAAGGTTGTCTTACCGCGAAATAAATTCTTGCTGAAAAATAAATTGCACTACACATACTATGGCCAAGAATGTCAAGAAGTCACTCCGAAGTCCCATATTTGTGGAAAAGAAGACATTCACAAAATTCAAGAAGACAGCCCATGCGAAATTAAACTACTCCACTCTGACAAAAATACCTCCACCTGCGAACAAACCAAAGTTGAAGTCCCACAAATTATCATCAATCGATTGGACGATTCCAACCAATGGATATTGGTTGTTCCTGTCAAAGAAGCCATCCAACTCAAGTGCTTTCAACAAAAAGAAGTACAAAACATCATTGGAACATTTATGCTCCAAATACCGATTGGTTGCCAAGTGGCCACCGCTTCCTAAATAGTCATCAATGAAAATAGGACAATCAAGACCGATATTCAACCGATACTGTTTCCTGACATACCAAATACACTCGCCATGATGCCGACCCTCAATCTAAGTCGACATCTAAATTATTTGAAGTTAGACGACCTTCACCAATTGAGCAAAGAAGTTTGGACATACGCCCACAACTGAGCTTCACCGAAATCAATAGATTGCCCAGCCTTGGGACAATCCTTATATATGTCCTCATCGTTATTGCCTGTATCTTCTTGGTTTACATGAAATATGTAAAAGCTGCCATGAAGAAGAAGAGGTCCACCCCCGTTCCAGAAGAAGACCGGAGTATTCAACTCCCCCGCTAGCGTGAAAGTTGAAGCTAAGAAGGGAGGAGTTATATCACGTCTATTTTCTGAGTCCTCATTTAAAATGCTTATTCTGCTTTTCAGCTTATTATAAATATATGTATTTTCTTAGGATAGTTAGTCAGTTGAAATTTATTATACTTATAACTTTTATTGTAACGTGCTTTCTGTAGTAATAATTTCGAATTGTTAATAAAGTCTATTTTTAAAAACCAACCCTCGGTTGCTGACTTGTTAACTCAGGTGATCAAAATGACATCAAAGATAAAAAAACACCCGGTACATGCTATTTCAAGTTTTAACAGTTTAATACTATTTTTTCAAGAAGTAGAAACTTTTATAAAGAATAACTTTTTTTAATAAAATTGATAATAAAAAAGTTTCCCATATGCTGCGAACTTAAGTGGACACACTGTATATAGGTTCCACAAAGCTGTGTGTCAATTTTTATCAAGATAAAAACAAGTATCTAAGGATCTCTTGAACAATACATGCAATGGCTTAACTAATAAACATGTAGACTTTTTTAGAATTATACCGGGTGCCCACGAGATTACTTTCCGGCAGCCATTTTTTTATTTGTTCATTGATATCAATGAAACTTGGTAGGCTTGATATTCTAACGAAATGCCATTTTTGTGCATTCATGACTTCCGGTTTCACCGGAAATTACCGCAACTTTCGATTTTCAAAACTTTTTAATAATGCATAAAAATGACGTTTGGTTAGAATATAAACCCTACCAAGTTTCGCTGATATCGATAAATAAATAAAAAAATGGCAGCCGGAAAGTGATCTCGTTGGCACCCGGTATACCTATAAGGTATTCTTTCTTTTGTATTTTTATTTGGGAGATCAGATATTTTATTGAAAATATCTTCAACAGAAATATGTGAAAAATTGAAGCACTTCGAAACCTCAACTGGTGTATCATAGACTATCTCCTGCACATCAAGGTTACTAGGAGTGTTAACTGTCACAAAATATTGTAATAAGTCCACAATACTTTGGCCATTTATATATATATAAATATATATTAGTTCAACATATTTCTGGAACCCTCTTACACTGCGAACGCAACCATGAAAACCTTTCATAATCAAGAAGAGATTTCAAATTATTAAAAGCCTAATGTGCAATTTTTTTCTGAAAAGTCAGATTTTGAACCTGTTGTGAAACCCATTTTGGAAATATGTTGTATGTATTAACATCCGGCACGTTGGGTGGTATGTATGTATATAAAACAGCAATTACAAATTGATTCCCATGGAAGCTACATGCAACAAACAGCTGTTCTTTATTGTTCTGGTTTATGTAAATTCTCATAGAGCTTATTGATTTTCTAATATGTATTATAAGTATACCATCGCCGCTAGATTTTTGACTAGTAAGATGAGACCGATCTAGCTCACTGTCCATGAAGTTAATACATAAATTGCTTTCTACTAATACTATAACATCATATGACGAACTACTTACTGGTCATTTAAAAAGCTCTAACTTTTGGTATTATGCCATTAATGGGGAGGTAGTTAGTTTTCCTGATCGCTTGCCTTTTTAGCGACTACCACTAGCACGCCTTCCATATATCCATTGATTAGGTCTTCCCCTCCATCCTTCCTTCGTAAAAGTTCTTCTCGAACTTGTTTGTAGGCAGCTTGTTATATTTTTGTACAATCATATATTGACATACCTATGTATGCTCTTATTTTTGGAATACCAGCTATTTAGCTATTACAATCTTATTCATATTTCGTTCTGTGTTTAGGTACCTCTGAAAAGTTTTCGTATTATTTCTTATTTTTGCAAATCTGTTGAAGCTGCTCCTAAGTCCTAATAACTCACTGAATTTGTTAAAATGATAATTTTTGATTGTTTCTAAATTTAGAACTTTGAAAAACTGAATTAATGATAAGAGAACTAATAGTACATGACTTAGTTTTTTGAAAATTTTACATTTCAACCACAATGTTATTCTTCCTATGTATAGATTCTTCAATTGATTTTGGATACGGCTTGATTCACAAAGAGTTCATCACACCCTACTTGGAAAACTGTCAGAAACTACCATCACAAATAAAAATCAACCAACTAATGGACGATTCTGAATTATGGTGTCCATCACAACCCATGGACAATAATGCTTGGATTACCACATTGGTTCTTCATTTGTTAAATATGTTCAATGAAGGATGTTATTTGAAGCATTTGATTTTAGTGTGTAAGGTCAAGGTATAAATCTTATAATATAAGATTTAAAATTATGAATCTACTGCAAATCTTTTTAGGCTAAATTTTGTGAAAATATTTTTCCTCTGTTAATTTATTTGATGTTATCGTTGAATAACAGCAAAGTAACAGAAATGATTTCTGTACGTATAAATGGATTTTTCACAAGTCATTGTAATTTGTCTACAGAGCCTGAAAAACTGTTAATCCCTGTTAATAAGAAATCTGTAAAGTGCATGTTGGATGTAATCAATTTTATTAGGCAACAACCCAGCATTTTTAAAAAGTAAGTATGTATATTTAATATTAGTTTCATTTATTATTGTGATTCCTTGTAGGTTTGATGATTTGAAACTAGATTATTTACCTATCGCCAAAGCTGCTACATTTTGTTCAGCTCATTTCTCAACCATACTTTATGCAGAATTATGGTGTCAACAACAAAAAGACCTTATCCTGCTAAATAAGTCAAAAAACGAAGCAAATGTCGAAGACGAAACTGCTTTTCTTGATTATATTTACTACTTCGTATCGAAAGAGCTGGGAATTACTTTACAGCAAATTTTACAAACTGTACGGTAAAATACAATGTTTTGTTTGTCAAATAAGTTACAATTTTTTTCTGTAGGCCTACAAGTCAATTGGAGAATTAGACGCACTTTCAGGCTGTGCTACTAGTACATCATTACTTAATCCCGAACACAGAATTGAATTTTATAAAAAATTAGGTCCATGGGATCGTGTTATGAATTATTATAGTGCCCTTCCTAATCCTGATTTCGATTTGCTAATTGAAAGCTTTAGAATGAACCAGATGTATTGGTTACCACTATTATGTGAAAATTTATGCACAGAGCCACAATATGAGTGTTTGTGGCGATTAGGTCAGTGGCACACAAACAAAAAAGACAACATCGATAAGATAAATCCGGACAACTATGAAAAATATAAATTCGCCTGCTTGAAAGCACTATGCAATGAAGACAAATACATTTTTACTTCTTCAATTAATCAATTTAGTCAATGTATAATTCGCAATTTAAGACACACTAGTCTCGAGAGTTGTAACAGTTTGTATCCAATATTCTCTCAATTGCAGTCTTTAATTGAAATGGAAGATTGCATGCAGGCGATAGATACTAACAATTTTGATGAAATGTTACTGAAATGGAAAAATCAAGATTTGATCATAAGGAAAAATGATTTTCAGTTTGTAGAACCTATAGCTGCACAAAGAATGACAATTTTGAGTGAATTCACTAAAAAAGAGCCTAGTTTGAAGAAGAAATATTTCAATATGGTTTTAGATTTTGCAGGTATATAACTTAATACAATATTTTTGATTTTTTCAAATTTTTTAATTGTTTTTTTGTTATAGATTATGCCAAAACCGAATGTCGCACAAGAGTAGCTGAAACTGCACTCATTAATATCACAATAAAAAGTTCTAATTTAGAGGACAGCATCAAGTATGAACTGCAATTACGAGAAGCCGAATTGCATTGGTTGAATAATGAGCAGGAAACTGCTCAACAGATTTTGGGAAAATTGTGCAACACTGACAATAATAAGATAACAAAACGGTGAATTCTACAGTTATTTTGCACGTTTCTTAACTAAGTTACAAACTCTTTTCAAAATATGTACAATCAATTATAATTTATTTTGTTTACAATGTTTAGTATAATGATTTACCTACTAGGAATTGTTTTTACACAAAATATATTCAAGAAATTGAAGCTGAACTAAATATTTTAGATTGAAAGCGTTCTGTTTAAAACTCCAAGGATCCTATAAAGCAGAAACTTATTCAGATAGAGCTTCAAATTTGAAATGCTTTGCTGACTCTATCGAGATGTACACAGCTATGAGAAATGATAACAATGTTTGGACCAATGAGGATTGTAAAAATTTGGAAGATGCTTTCGATAAAATGGCTACTTTTGCTGATAAGGAATATCAACAAGTGAGTTTTCAAGCTATAACCCCAATTAATCTTTTATTTTATTTTTCCACTCACTGTTATTTTTCTTTAGATCATGAGATACATGAAATCCGATCCCTTTCGCCAAAAAATTTCCAATATCACCGCCTGTGAGCAAATGGCCAGAGCCATGAAAGTACTTAGGGCAAAAAGTGACGACGAAAAAAAAGCTCAAGTAATCCATGAAAGACAACTTAAACTTGACGAATTTGAAATGAATACTACGTATCAAGAAAAAGAACAAGTATTGGGACTTGCAGTTAGGTAAATTGTCACAGCCTAAATTTAAGATGTTTACTTGGTTATTTTACCAAAATAATATTATTTTTTCAGATACTACATTAAAAACTTGTTGAGTTGCGACACAAACAACATAAGAATTTTCCGGATGACGGCTCTATTTCTGGAAAATCGAGACAGCGAAGATTTGCTTGGGCTTCTTAAAACCGAGGTTCAGCAAATACCCACCTACAAATTCATTCCAATATTGCCGCAATTGATTCCTCATATATCCACTACTGATGTGTTCGGACAGCAAATTGATCAGATAATCGAAAAATGTGCAATTGACCATCCGCATCACACTCTACCTTTACTTTTGGCTTTAGTAAAAGCGAATAAAGACAGGGAATATTCAAATTCAAAGGCCAAAGTGAGCGTGAGTGAGAGGAGCGAAACGGCTTTATCTTTGATTAAGAGGTTGATGAAAAAGAGTAATATATTGGCTGGAATAATTGGGAAAATGCTTACTTTATCAGATAGTCTAATTCAATTGGCATATTATGTGGATAATGGTGACTCTTCTGATAGTGATAAAAGTGAATTTACAATACCATCCAGATTGAAAATACGTCAAATTAAAGACTATGGGGATGTTTTGGTGCCTACATATAATATACCAGTTAGCAAATCCAATACCTATGATAATATTGTCGGTAAGTATTTGTTCTATTATTTGTTTAATTTATCCCTAACATCATGGTGGAACATTTTGTTCAAAGTCTTAGATTGCGCCCGCCAATTTATACTATACTAAAAGTTTCCTACTTATTTGTTTCAGGTATATACAAATTTGCACCAAAATACAAAACAGTAGGTGGCATAAACGCACCTAAACGCATCGAATGCATCGGTACCAATGGTAAAACCTATTCACAATTAATCAAAGGCCAGGACGACCTCAGACAAGACGCAGTTATGCAACAAGTTTTCACTATTATGAATAATTTGCTCTCAGCCAATAAGCAAACGAGAAGTTTGCTTATCAGAACGTACAAAATTGTACCATTGTCGATGCGGAGTGGTATATTGGAATGGGTTGATAATAGTATGCCTATTGGAGAATATTTAATTGGTGCTAAGGGTACTGACAATGCTGCCCATAAGAAGTTCAGACCGAATGATATGACTCCTGGTTGGTGTAAAGCCAAGTACAGAGTAAGTGCATTATAATTTATTGAACATTAATATAGTATTTTGATATATTGTGTGAGGGTTTTTCAGAAGGCCTACTGATACGTTTCTTTAATACCTTCAGATATTTTTTTGCACAGTAATATTTTCCGCGTTTCTTCCATTTATTTCTTGGCCCTCTATGCCATATCCAATGGAACGATACTACCTCCCTAGTATTTTCACTGTTGTTTGTCTGACTTTTTAAGGATTATTCAACTCAAACTCAACTCAATTCAAAATCTTTATTTAAAATATTACATATGCAGTACAAATTCAGGTAGGGGGGTTAGGCCCCCCCTCAAACCAAAAAACATACAACATTAACTTAAAACTAGGACAGGACTACTTAACTAACACTCAACATGGCGCAGCATGTTGTTGCCACATGCGCGCTTGTCGGTGGTCTGGCAACGCAGCCCTATTCCCATCTTTTCTTATTACCTCGCACTCGACGTTTCCAGGTTGCCCTCACACGTCACTTGTATGACTCTTGTCACTAGCCTATACCACGAATGGAAAACATTGGGCCGATACATCGACCTTCGATTGGGTGGTGCTCTGAGTAGGGGTTGCTAAGCGCACAGCGCCCGTTCTACGGGAAAAACATTGAAAAAACCCGTTTTTAATTACCTTATTTTTTAAAATCAACAAAAACAAAAAAGTCGTGCCTCGTGAGGCAGTGGGGTCCAATGGACGCAGTCTCGACACCAAATGTGTGAGCTCTAGGGTATGTGCCCGTGAGCGCGGAAGGGGGTCGCCAACCCTGCACCAAGTCCAATCCGATGCCCTGAAGGGTCATAGGTAGTGGTTTGGTGCAAGTGAAGGAGTTTGTGTGGGGTGTCAGAGAATGAGGATTGGAGGGATTACAAAAATTACCTGGGTTTAAGGGGGTTCGAAATATATCGGTAGATTTTTGTATGGGGGGCCGTGGACTATGGGGTTGTCTGGATCATATCTCGTTGCGGTGAGATTTCGCGTGAGGGTCTGATTCCTGTAGAATTTGTCGCTGATTTCGTCCAGGTAGTCAGAGATATAGGGAATGTATGCTTGCGCATGCATGTCCCTTATTCTGGCGTACCTGGACTCCGACAGGACTCCCCTCAGAATGCGATTCTGAAACCGCTGAAGGCGGTTTCTTTGGGTTCTTGAGATTATGTTCCAGACAGGGGCCCCATAGGTTATCATAGGTCTGAGGATTTGCTTGTAGATAAGGAGTTTGTTTTCTGGTGATAGGGATGAGTTGGGACCGATGAGAGGATAGAGTTTTTGCTGCGCACTGAAGGTGCGAGCCAAGGCGTGGGAAACATGATGGTGGAACTTCATTCTCTGATCGAAAAGGATTCCAAGGTATTTGGCTTTCGGGGACAGAGTGACAGGGATGTTATTGACGATAAGTGGGGTGGGCATGGTGCTATTGGTATGCTTCTTGTGGAAGCATATGAGCTCCGTCTTTTGACCATTAACGCCAAGCTTCCACTTATCGTAATAAGGTTATAACGTACTTATTTTTGGCAATTGCCTAATTATACTGCATACGGCTAGTCAACATCAGTTCGGCGGCCATGGGTCTATGGGTTCCTTGTATACATCTTACCTTTGGGCGCCACCAAGTTAATTGTGACTTAACTAGGAAGATAACCTAATGATGTTTAAACAAAACCTGTGCAATTGGAGCACTTAACAATAAAACAACCAATTAGGTACAATAATGTATCTGGCTTTCTTTATTAAAAAATAATAACAATAATAATAAGGCGCCAAAAAGTGTAGCCACCAAGTAATTAGGACTTAACTATTGCGCCAATAAGTAGCCACGAAGTTATTAAAAAAGGTGTTTAGGATTAGGCTTGATTGTCTGAGACTGAGACTAGGATTGTCCGACTATAGCCTAAGAGTAGGATTGTCCAACTATAGCCTGAGACTAGGACCCTATAACGATGTTCGTATAAAAAAAACAAATCGAGCCCCAAATATTAGAAATAATCTTACCTCAAATTGAGGGATACTCTCTAGACCAAAGGTGAAGTCTTAAACTTCCAAATGCTGCTCGAAACAGTCCTATTAAAAAAAATGGAACACGTGTTGTAGGTTAATATTTCCTGAAGAAAATCTCAAACTTACCGAAACAGAATCCAAAAATGACCAAGGGACGACTCTAGACAATTATCAGCAAGAAATTAGTCTAAAACTTGAGCTCCCTGGCACAAAATTCCAAAAAGTCTCGCCCCAAAAATAATTAGGGCCGAGGCCCGAGACCGGACGACTACTCAGCGTGAGGTCGCAGATCAAAAGGGCAGATTCTTCATTTAGAATTTAGATTTCGGAAGAAGACTTTCATCTGTCAAACTTCTAATTTTGACATTGAAGAAAATTATAGAAAAGGACGTGTTCAGTTTCACCCCAAAAGTACGAACTGAGAATCGGTTGTGTAAAAAATGACTGGTGAATGTTGAAAAGTGCCTATAGAACATATATCAAAAGGTAGAACAGGTCTAAAGAAAACGCCTAGACAAAACAGCTGTTCAATGACATGATGGAAATGAAAAGTCAAAGAGTACAAAAAAACAACAATTATTATCATAACCTCAGATTATTGATTGGATTTGAAAACAGAGATGGTGATGGTACTAACTCCTTTTCCTAAGATTCTAATCAATAACAGCGGGCCCTGCCGTACTGAATCAAACCTTCCTAGATCAATTAACCAAACTTGCAAACCTGAACCAAAAAAACTTCTAGTAGAAGGCAGTACTCAAGGTAACAAAATCTGGGCACAGAAAAGATAGTTGTTTATTCATTTATTTCATTGTAGCTCTATATGGAATCATATCCAGTATGGCAAAACAAGGTAGCTTATTAGCCAAGAAATTGAAAACGTTACAAGGTTGAAGGATTGCAAGGTGATGGGCAAGTTGAAATTTTGTTGCGGAATTGAGCGTAAACAGCGGTGTCATCTGCGTACAGAGCCAGTTTTGTATTCTGGAATTTTGGAATATCCGCTGTGTACAGAGAGTATAGCAGCGGACTGAGTGCCGATCCCTGCGGCACTCCGGCCTGAATTGGTTTGGAATTTGAGAGGGCGTCTTCTTGTTTGACGCAGAAAGTGGGGCCGCTGATAAATGACTATATCAGGGAGATGATGTGTAATGGGAAGTTGAAAGTAGCGAGAAGTTTGTAGATAAGGCCTGAGTGTCAGACCCTATCGAAGGCGCGTTCCATGTCCAGGAGCAGAAGAGTCGTGTTCATGCGCCTGTTGAACCCTTGAAAGACGTCGCAGCAGGTTTTGGTTGCAAGGAGAGTTGTGTTGTGACGGGGGCGGAATCCGAACTGCTCGTTTGGGAGAATGGAGAAGTTTTCGACGAACCTGTTGACCCTGGCCAGGATTAACTTCTCCACGAGCTTGGCAAAGGAGTTTAGAAGGGAGATTGGGCGGTAAGAGGATGGGAGTGTAAGGTTTTTTCCAGGTTTGGGGATCATAACCACCACAGCCATTTTCCACTGAAAAGGAAAATGCTGAAGTTTTAGGATTGCGTTTGTTATTTGTACTAACTGGACAATAACTTTACGCGGAAGATTTTTGAGGACTCGATATGGGATGCCATCTGGTCCGGGGGCCTTTTCGCTGGGGAGCCTGCGGATGATGCTAGTCATCTCGCCAGGGGTGACAAGAAGTTCAGCGAGCAAGTGCTGGGGGATGGGGTACTTCCGAATAGCAAAGGCTGTCGCTGTACACTCGATTTCCTCCTGTTCAGGGGAGTTTGGTGGGAGACCGGAATGAATACTCTTCATGAATGAAGCCAGAGCTTCCGCCTTGTCTGGGGCAGTGACGCAATCCCTGCCATTACTAGTGATTGCAGTGGTGCGCACAGGCTGCCGCCTCATTTTAGACTGAAGGCGCCACAGAGAGTTGTCTTGAGGATGAAGGTTTTGGAGGGTTTGGGTCCATCTACGGTTCCGGAGCTCGTTGATGCCATTTTTAATAGCACCCTCGAGTTCCCGAACTCGTTGGCGATCCTCGTCCCTTCGGAGGTGTTGCCACCTTCTCCGGGTGCGATTCTTCAGTGAAATAAGATCTATGAGCTCTCGGGAGAGCTCGTCACGGCCTTGATGGACAGTTACCCGGTTAGCAAGAGGAGTTAGGGTTTGCTGGATATTCCTGGTCAAGGTTGTAACCTCTTGCTCAAGAGCGTCCACGGTGTCAATTTGACCAGGAACTTGGGTATGGGTGTTGAGATTCTGCCGAAACAGGGGCCAGTTAAAGTTTTTATAACTCAGGCGAACTTGTGGGCGGGGAGGATCAAGTTCGCCCCAGGTGAAAAAGACGGGTAGATGGTCCGAGCTCAGGGCGTTGATCGTTACAAGATCCGAAAGTTCCCTGAGTCCTTTGCTGATGGATGGCAATGTCTATGTATGTGGGTGTAAGGATTATTCGGTGTCCTCTTATCATAATGAGGTGGGATGTTGACATCTCCCATTGGAGTAATAATGATATCTTTTCTGAATAAATGTATGAAGTTCCAAAATGTTTGTATATCAAACTAGCTGTTGCCCGCGGCTTCGCACGCCCTATACAAATTTTGTAGGTGTAGGGTGTAGGAAGCATTAGGTAATCTTCTTTCAAAGAGCTAAGGCGATAGTTGCGTCAGACATATGGTCATGTAACTCTTATTTTTGTAGCACCTCTCTGTAAACCACATTTTTTGTTCTGCTTTGTGGCTGCAGAATATGAAGACTATTTTTTGACAGCTGACGTTACATTTTTTTGAAGTGCCACTCGCTGCTTAGAGCTTTGTTCGCGGATCATATTTTGAACCGATTCCGAACCAGTCTGGAACTAATTGAGGACTATCGTAGAACGCATGCCCAGGTATAGCCGGGTTCGGCTTGCTCACTCCGTGCACTTCGAGTGATTCCGTTCGCACTTCAGCCGTTCGGGTATTACCTTTTAGCTTATCAGATAACGGCTGGAGTAACTCGGAGAG